GTTGTGCCATCGGAAACCGACTCCAGGCGTCCTCGAGGTTTCGTGGTCTATCACGCCACCGCTGCCACCATGTCGTGTACCGTGTGCGGAACTCCAAGAAAGTTAGAGACGAGATCGAGACGAACGTTTGTTTCCTGCTCTTTTAATATGGCGTCTTTCCCCCCGACCCAGCGTTGCCAGACCTCTTTCAGTCTCTGGACACGACACGAACGTTGCGAGAGCCGTGGTTTGAGCTCGAGATCTTCGCTTCGGATCGAGGCGAAGTTAAACTTTGTCAACATGGCGGTGCCGTACGCTGCGGCCAAGCTTATCTTCCGCCATTGTCGGCGTCGCTACTGAGACCACCGGGGACGCCTTTCAAGCCCCCAACGACGACTTTCGGCGACCGTACCGGCTATCGAAAGCCGTTGTGCGTTGACTCTGCGACGAGCTTCTTTCGGCGCCCGGACTTCGTGGCGGCGGACAATCGCGTCGACCATGACCGTGGAACCACAAGTTCTCTACGCGCTGCGGTTCTTCGGAACCGGTAGCTTTCAAGGCATGGTGGCGACTGACGAGCACCTGTTAGTTAGTCTCCCACATGACTGTGAGCCGGGCTGTCAGAGTTTTTGCGGCTGCCATCGTTTTTTTTTTTTCTGTAATATTCGAAGAGGTACTAATAAGCTGGTATACAATTCAGAATGTTGGGAAACAAACAAGAACCGGGGTAATTCTTGGGTAGGGTCGAGTCTTCCGGCAGCCGGCAGAATTATTTCCCCAAAATTCTACTTGCAGTCGTCACTCATTGGCGGTGAAATCAGTTCATCGAACGACGTGCCATCGACAGATCGTTTCATCGGCACGCGATGTAATCACATGAAAGAGATTTTCTTCCGTTAGAGGTACATACATTTGCACACCTTTATACATGTTAGTGGGGTGTCCCATAACTAACACCGTAATAAGTGTAGCGATGGATCTTATAAAAGAAATGCAAACCTCATACCTTTAAAAATGTGTGATTTTTAAACACGTTTCTTAAAACGTGTGACAATGCACTACACCTTCCTATAAAGATGTAAAGCTACAAACTCTCGTCTCGTCAGGCTATACATTTAAGTGGGGTGTCCCATAACTAACACCCTAGTAAGTGTAGCAATAGACCTTATAAAAAAAAATCTAAACGTCACACCTTTAAAAATATGTGATTTTTTAAACACGTTTCTTAAAACGTGTGAGGATGCACTACACCTTTTTATAAAGATGAAAAACTACAACACCCATTCTCGTCAGCCACGTAGCCAGGGGGGGGGGGCATAAGGCCCCCCCCTCTCGAAATCTTCCATTTTGCTGGGCCCTCCTCTCTCCCCTCCCCCTCATAGAGCACTTTGTCATGGGCGCCCCCCCCCCCCCCCCCCTTAAACAAAATGCTGGCTACTTGCCTGCTTCTCGTCAAGGTGTAATTACCACAGTACATTTCTTTTTTGGGGTGTACAGAGTGGCCCGGGACCCAATAATATGACTGAACAAATAAATTACACAAACGAGTCGCCGAAACAGCACGTTGCTTCTTGGCGAGTGTCGAGGCAATTTCGGCCGAAAACCGGCTTCAGTATTGGCCGGATATACGGTTTTGCGCCTCGTCCTGACATCCGGCAGGTATAGGTGTATCCATGGGCGTAACAACCGGGAAGGCAAAGGGGGGGCGCTTGCCCCCCAGTTCTCAAAATGGGGGGGGGGGGGCAAGGCATGTGTTTTGCCCCCCCTTAAACAGCCGCCGCTGGGCAGGGCAAACACTGGCCGGCGGCGCCCAAGGGCATCACCCCCCGACCCGCGGGGGCATATTTTTAAAGCGCAGGCGATACAAACCCTAGCAACAGCGCTCACACCGGATTGGCTGGTTCGTGGAGATAGGCGCTGCCGCCGTCATCATAGGCAGTGGTTACAATGCGAGTTTCCTGAGCGGTAGCGTAACTTAGTTGCAAGATGTCTGCCTCATACGTAGCAGACCCAGGTTCTATCCACGGTGTGGGCATCTTTTTTTTTTTTCCTCGAACATTTTGTTTTGTTGAGGCATTTCGCGATATTTACGACATTTCTTTTTTATGATTAACACTTAAAAAAGAAATGTTGTCGACAAAACATCGTGGAACTAAATCGTATGGGACCCTATGGATGTGCATGGGGGACAGCGGGGCTTGGGTTGCCGGCTGCAAAGCGGTGTGTACGGGGGTAGAAGGGGGGGGGGGGTGGTAAGTGGGTTAATAGTTTTGTAATTAGTAGCCGCACATTCTCGCCGCGAAGCGGCGTAAATGCAGACGGGGGGAGGGGGGGGGGGGGCGGGTTATATACACGCGCTGTCCGAATCCAAAATTTAAGTTCCCGCGCGTTGCTGAACAGCCAATCCGGCGTGAGTGTCGTTGCTAGGGGGAGTGTCACCTGTGCCGTAAAAGTCACTGATGGACCGAATCTGCCGAACTTCAGATTCGGCAAAGTTCCGCACATGCCGAAATTTAGAAGGAAAGTTCGGCGAAAATTCGGCAAAAGTTCGGCAAATGTTTGCGCGCGCGCACGAACACGACGGGGCGATGGATCGCAAATGGACGCCGCGCAGTCGCGCGGTTACCATCGTACTGCTTAGTACAACCAGCGGTTACGACGAGGTGTGGAGTAGGCGACACGGTAACTGTGCGTTTGTGAGCTTTCGCTAGTGTGGTTCTCTTCAATATTTTCTGCCTCAAGAACAGAAGATTGACCAATAATTTACGCAGTCCACTGCGCAAGTGACAAATGATGCGGTGCATTCTGGATAACGTGATTTTCATTTGACGTTTCCATTGATGAAACGAGCTAGTTGAAACATTGACTGACAACTGACAATTACACTCAGTGTGCGCACCCCACTGCCGTCAAACGGGGCAGAGTCACGAGAGCTTGCCAGGATGTATGAAATGCAGGTGGCATCCTTGTCATAATGTGACATTTGTTTTCCCCCTTCTCTTCTTTCCATTTTACGCACTTTCTGTAGTGTGTTTATTCTGTACATGTATACATCGGTTTTGTTTTTTCACATGTGGTGGCGGGCTGGCAGGCGCTCTGCGTAAGGGTTTGCACCTGTCTGCCTTGCCCGGGCCGCACACCACCACATGGGCCCCTTCCAGTTTGTATTTGATACCGATACCGATGCGATGCTCCAGCTTTTTTTAAATACTTTTCTTGATGCTACTGCGATGCTTAACATTTCTGTTCATAATACTTCACTCCATGTCACTTCAACTTAGGTTCTGTCCCACAAGCCCTCGATGGCTTTGACGAACCTGCATTAATTTCGATGGTATAATAATAATTATAATAGCCACACGACTCCCATAAACTATTCACTGTTCAGAAGCAAAAAATCCAAGAACGCTAGAAAGTTCTGGTACTTGGTTGCTCGGTATTCTTTGGGCTCTAAAGGACACTTATTTTGTTATTTACCGTTACTATTGTTGCATGTGCACCAATAAACACAATGTACAAAAAATATGGTATCCTTGCAACAGATGGTTCCAAATTAAATTGCTGGATCACAGCTCTGGTGAAAAGAAGAAACAGCTGGCAGCAATGCGTCAACAAACATATGCATAGCAGTTATCTAGAAAGCCGGAGTATGAAACATATATCTCATATCTGAAGGCTGCACAACAAACGAAACATGAAGGAAAGAGCAGCTGTTACAAAAACAATTCTTGTTTACTTAACAGCTGTTTAAAAATACCCAAAATATCTGGTTTTACCCAAAAACAAAGGACGCTATTTATACTATGCAGTTGATCAGAGTTGGTCTCGAAATGAACAAACAGGGTCTCTGTCAATAATCTAGGTATTTGTTATCATGAGTTGATATATTAACATGATCAGTTTTTCAGAATATTTTCCAAGTCACGAAATTCGCGAAAATGAGCTGCTTGTGAAAATAAGGTCGTTTATAGTATGCAGTTAATTAGAGTTGGTCTGGAAATGGTGAAACAGGGTCTCTGTCAATAATCTATTCGTTACCATGGGTTGATATATTCACATGATAAATTTTTTGCAATATTTTCCAAGTCACAAAATATGCGAAATTGAGCTCCTAGTGAAAATTGGGTCATTTATAGTATGCAGTTGATCAGAGTTGGTCTGGAAATGAAGAAACAGGGTCCCAGTCAACAATCTAGTTTGTTTCAGTTGGTGACTGCATGAAAAGACAGGAGTATTTAAAGGAATCTACCGGAGTGTGGCATTCAATAATAATTTTTTAGTTTTTGTTCTTTTTGATAAAGTTATTTATTCTGTCATGTAGTTCTATGATACCATCTACAAAAAAGGAAAACTTACTCCAGCTCGCGTGCGCCCTCACTGCGTTTTCGTTAAACAATGACACGCACACTGACAACGCCATGTGCAACATCGCGATATTTAAGTTTCAGAACGTGCGCTGTTGTCAGTAAGCAGTTCTGCTCTCGTACAAGAAATTGGTAGTACGGTGCCTGGGGGAACGTGTCTCCGACTGGTGTGTTTACCGGGTCCAAAAAACTGGTCCCTCGATTTCCGCCTGAGGAAGTCATAGAAGTGTCATGCTCTCGCCGGTCTCGAGCCTGGCGGCGTCCCAATAGTTGTGGTGTATGTGTAAGACGCCTGTTCTGTCGCAGATCGCTCTGCAATGCGGCAGTCCACGGGAGCTAAAGCAGCCGGAAGCTGGGACGCCTGAAACGCCGTGACGACAGCGACACTCGCGTTCGCCTGTGGTTTTCGCCAGCATTTCTACGACCAACCGCCAGGATCGCGACATGCAACAGCCTGACACTCCGGCTTCTGTGACGTCATTTGTTGCCACTTTTGGACCACTTTTGATGTATGGGCGGGATAAGACGCTAAACACAACAGTCGGAGACGCGCTCCAGGCACCATAATTGGTAGTAAGAAACATCTAGTAAGGTTTACAGCGCTGATTACTAAAATTCGTGAACTAAAACAGCACTCGAGAACATCGTGGGTCAAAATACTTTTTTGTTGTTGCTTTATTTGCTCCGACAAAACAGTATCCACACATGCGAATTTTGTGTGAACTGCATTCACTGAGATCTTGTAAAATGCGCGGTGTAACCCTTCGCGTTTCTTGCTTAGTTCTGCTACTCTCATGTTAGACCAGTCTTATTCGTTACGATGCGACAATAGGATACTCTGGACTGGCCACGCCCCGCGTTTCAGAAATTGTATGTGACAATAATATTATTGTCATTATTGTTTTCTTCTTAATATTATCACTATTATACCGACATTACAGCAGGAAATGTGTTTATTGTGCGCAAGTGAAGACAGGACCATTAGTATTCCTGCTGGAGCACGCTACCGGGCCATAAACATCTAAACGACGTCCTTACGGTCCAGAAGCCAGTCCACGCCATCCCAAAGCCTTGGCACAGAAGTGCCCTCCATTTCCTTAAAGAACCTTTCCTCCAGTCGCCGTGACTGTTCTACCGAAAAGTAATTCCGCCAGTCTCCAACAACGCCCTTCCTCACGAACTGTGCTTCCCAATCCTTTTTCATCTTTGCCACGCTCGTACCATCAACTACAGCCGTCATTTTTGCTTCGTCTTCCGCAAGGTCCTTAGCGAGTTGGTTGTCCAAAAAACCAGCGATCTTCAGCACCGATTTCTTTGTGTCAGCATGGATCGACTCGTAGGTTAGAAACAGCACGTTAGGCTCGTCTTTCTTTACAAACCAAGATAGTAGGTTCTCATAGTAGCTGCCGCAGTCCGTGAGGCCCTCGACGAAAAGCTCAAAATACTCTTCAAAAGTTCCATCTTGGAAACAGTAACCGGGAATTGCCTTCGTGTGATGGTAAAAAGACACGCAACAGTCTTTAGGGTTCCTGGCCACGTATATGTACTTAGTGGAAGGCGAGAAAGTTGTCAAGTGAAAGGGCAGGTGAGTGTAGATGACTCGCGGTCTCTGGGCCTTGAGAATGCCTTCTAGACCATTCATCTCAAGGAAGCTCCATCCCGGCGTGACACCCCTGCAGACTCGGAAGCACGCCTTGACGATTTCCAGCACCCAGTGAGTACCGCACTTGGGGAAGGTGACCAGGATGATGTCGCTTTCCTCCGGCTGGTAGCGCAGGCCGCTCCGGTAGACCTCTTCTGAGAAGGATCCCGGCAAGCGGTGACCATTGATGATCTGGGCGGCGGGTCGGTCTCTCTCCCTCATCCTCTGGGACCGAAAGCAGACGGCGTTGAACTGTCAGTCTGAAACCCCTGTCGGCGAATACGTTAATGGCCTCAAAAATAAACTCCTGACTTCTTACACCGCCTGCTAGTTGTGCGAGCAGACACGCGAAACACCCCGTCTTTCGTCGTCTGCAATGCCGTAGAACGCGACCATGAAAGCGACATACTAGCGTACTAGCGTTTCATCTTGCACGAGCCACGGCCTGCACTGGTTCGTCGATTCTCTAGGGGAGTTTGTTCCGAACACCTTTAGCGTGCTTGTCTGAGAGGTGTGTTAAGCCCAATTATTGGGGCTTTGTCACCGGATGAAAATGTCAATGCGCTGAGCGAGGTGGTACATAATTATTGGAATTACGAGCCGAACAAAAAAAAAAAAAAAAAACAATATGAAAACAACAACAACAAAAAATTATAATCCACACTACTGGACAAGCAACAATTTGATGCCGCTTCTTCGTCCTTCTCATTAAGCTACCAAAATGAGGTGCCTTATTCTATTTTCTTCTTCGTTATCCTCTTCACAATCGCGTTCTTTCGGACTCTCGGAAGAAGGTGATTTCCTTGGGACGCATTTTCGACGACTGCCTTTCAGTTCTTTGAGAGTAAAACAGGAAACATCAACGATGCGTTGCTAACTTTGTCACGAGGTGTATATCAGACTGTATTTTGAGGTTCAGTAAAATCTGATGTGTAAATGCAGTGTGTATTTACATTCGGGAGGTGTTCCTCAACAAAGTTCGATACCCTGTAAGGTTCTCCTACCCCTCGTCGCTCAAGCAACGCCAAGAAACTCGTTCCTTCATGAGGCTTCCACCTTCTTTTTTTTGGAAAGTCGCTGGTTCTTCAGGTTGCAATCGAACGTGTTCCGTTATTTATAGTAAATCACTCACTTAATTTTTTTTTGAAAGTGAGGCAGTAAAGTTTAATGTTGAGGTGGTAAAGGCTGTTTGTTTTTCTCGAATTCGTTTTTGAGTCTGCCACTGCGTGGAAAAAAATCCAACGCCTGTCTTGTAGGTTATGAATGCCAAGGAGTAATTCCAAGAGGTATTTAGTGTAAGTACGAAACAGGTTGCATAGCCCTTTTCACAATGAACCAGAATCTCCTTTCGCACCTTCATTGTCACCAATTACTGTTCCTCCGCGAGGCACAAATAGTGCGCTGCGCAGGCGCACTAAGCGTAGAGGCAGCATTACTCGTTACGGCTTCTGCATTTCTAGCATGGTTGTTCCGCGGAGCGATATATTTTCGTGGATGGCACGCGGTGGTGTTCATTTGGCTTATTCTTAACATGTACCTGACTGAAATTGCCCCGTTGAATTAGGGTACGTAAAGAAAAAGAACAGGTGTGGGATTGTACAGAGTTGAGGCAAGGTCGCCATATCTAAAAGGCAGACCGAGTAAACTGTATGGGGATTCACAGAGTTCAATTTGCCTTCTTATAACTAGATAACTTCAAAACAGGACATAGTGGTGAGACTGTCACTTCGAGAACCATTATAACACAGAATGTGGTTTGCTAGGTGATTCCGATGGGCAGTCGTCATGAACGAGCGTCATAACGAGCGTCACTGAAAATAAATAAATAACGATTCGTCAAATTGATCGTCCCGAACGAGTGACACGCAGGGACCGTAACGCACGTTAAAGTTTCATATAAAGGAAACGTACGAAGTTTGAGCCACGGCTGGGCTTTAACTTGGGTCAAGCCCAGCCGGGGCTTGACCCAGCTGCCAAACTAGCTACTAAACTATTAACCAATTTTTTTTTTCCTGCAAAACATTTCTTTACAATGCATACACAATTATTCACAATATGTATATAATCCGGCACGACAATGGGATAACTTATATAACTAGCATGTACAAGCTACATAAACAGCCAGACACCACCGACAATCATGCCGTTCCTACCTTAGCGAGGCTTGTCTTAAAACTCACTACATTTCAATTTAATAATGAATACTTTAGACAATTTAGTGAACCCGAGACGGGCACCAAGATGGCGCGCAGTTATGCCAAGATAATTATGGGAAAACTAAAGACAGAATATGTTTTAGATGACCCCTAAATCCAGAAATGTAAGCAAGATTTTTAGATGACATTTTGCCATTATGGAGACACCGAGGCGAAGCTGCTGAAATTTAAAAATCATTATATTACTTGTCATCCGAACATTCGTTTTACCCGCACTACTATCAAACCGATATTGACTTCTTGGACGTCCATGTAAAAATAGAAGACTGAAAACTCTTAGCAAAGTTGAACCGTAGACCAACCGACCGACAAGAATAGCTACATTACCAAAGCAATCATCCACGTCATTGTAAAAACCGCATATCCTATAGCCAAGTCAATTGTTTTAAACTTATTTGCTCGAACTAGGAAGATTTTGAAGCTAGACGCAAAAATCTAAAGACCGTATTAGAAATACAAAATTATCCACCAAGTGTAATTGACGATGCAGTTCAGGGCCCGTTTGCTCGAAGCGCTAACCGCGGCTAATGTTAGCCGCGCTAGCTAGGAGAGGGATTTTGAAATCACGTGACTGGCTCGGTAGGGATGCGGGGAAACATGGCGGTGCCCCGGTGAGTGAGCGCCGCTCGCTTTGGAACTAATATGTCGTTGTAGCTGCAATATCGGGCGCGTTAGTCAGCAACGAATGGTGCAGGAGGCGTTCGCTTTGCCTTACCTAACTTAACTTGCAAAGCATGAGCAATGACCTCGCCGCATTTTTTAGATAGTCTTTCGATTCTGGCCATTCCTAAGCCTAAATGAACGCAATAATTGTCGGCATGGCAACGTCTTTGGAAAGGCAACGTCTTTGGATTGTCGCCATGGCAACGTCCTTGACAGATTCAGATCAGATTCAGACAACGTTTATTGAGAACAAGAAAAGGACTGCTTCGATTAAGAAAGCGTCGTGATGCGGTCACTGCTTCGGTGGGGCATCTTTCTTGGATGGAGTATGTATGGGTGTTGAAGTGAGAGTATGAAGGGGGGGGGGGGAGGAGGGGTTCAAGGCTGTGGTGACTCTAAAGTGAGTTGCTTAGTCCTCCACTGGAGATGAATTCCAACAGAGAGCCCAGAATGCTTGTGCGGCGTTCTGCGTCGCCGATGGGGTGGGTCCATTCCCGTACGCTGCTGGGCACTTCATCTGGAGGGAGTGTGGCCCAGACTGTTTGGCGAGTCTCTCGGAGAGCTTCGCATTCCCAAAGCAAGTGCTGAAGTTTCGGGAGCTTGTCGGGGTGTTTACATCTGTGGCAGCGCGGGTCTGTTGGAACAAAGTATGGGTCCGTCTTTCTTTTGCGGTTCAGCTCGAAGATGTACGTCTGGTGGGGTGTGATTGCTCCTCCGGTACGCACTCTTCTGAGTAGAACGGTCTGGTGCCGTTTGAATATCTTTTCAGGGATCGGGTACGGTTCCGCCGTCCAGGTGTTCAGAATCTGTTTCCGAACCTGGGCGCGAATCTTGCGTATTTCTTCCTTGGGATCGTATGCTTCCTCGATGGGCTCCGTTCCTGGTATCAGGTTCCTTGCCGTCTTAGCGTGGCCATCTGGGAGTGCTGCTGTCTGTAGTACCTCTCTGGCAGCTCGATGGGCTGCCGCGTTGCCCTGTATTCCAGCGTGTCCGGGTACCCACCGTACGCTGGTTTTCGTGCCGTGTTCCCGGTGTATCCGTAATGCCGATTGGAATATAGCCGCGATTGTGGGGCTCGTCGTCGTGGTGTGGTGTTTGACGAGGCTTCTGATTTCCTCTTGCGAGTCAGTGTAGATGGTCAGGTGGTTGCGAGTGTGGCTGTTGCTGGTAGCTAGGTTCTCATATGTTTGCAGGGCCAGGAGTATCGCTGCTTCTTCAGTGGCTTGTGGCGATGTGAGTTTTGTGTAGACCTTACGAACCGTAAGTGGGGCGTCTTGTGCTTCGCGAAGAAATACCACCGCCGCGGATGCTGCCGTTGCATTGGTAGCTGTGTCCACATAGACAACTTGGTTGTCTTCGTGGTTCAATTGTGACACTTCTGCAAGGTGGAGTCGGGCATGGTGCTCTCTACGTTTTTGATGTTTCTCTGCGTTCATGTTCCTGGGTAGCGGCTTTTGGGCAATGTCTATTAGCTCCCAAGGCGGTTTGGCTCGTGGCATGGGGTTCTTAGCTTGGATTTGAACGCCGAGGTATTTGGCTATTGCTCTGCCTTCTACCGTATGCTCCAGTCTTGCGACTTGCATTTCCCTTTGCTGCCTGAGAGAGTCTTGCAGGCTCGGTAGAAAAACACATTTCCTAAGTTCGTTAAGCCTAGTCGTTCTCGGTAGGCCAAGAATGGCTCTTCGTGCCTCGTTGTAGAGGGTGTCAAACTTGTTGAAGTGTTCGCTCCTGAGTTTGTAGAAACGGGCCGCGTACGTGACCTTAGCCATCAGGACTGCGGTCACCAGAGTCTTGGCCGATTTTTCCCCAGCACCGCCAAGTCTGCTTGCGATACGTCGGACCAGCTGCAACCCCTGCCTCCATTTCTTTGTCGATTCTTTGACCCATTCCGTTGCCAACGAGCGTTTGTAGCCAAAGTTTATGCCGAGGATTTTCACAAAGGGCTCGCATTGTAATGCGTTCCCAGCAAAAGTGAGGCCGAGGTCTTTGTTCTCGTGGCCTTTTCCGAAGGTGGTATATTTAGTTTTCTCCGAGGATGGTTGCATGCCCACTCTTTGTAGATACCTGTCTATGGTATCTAGGCCTCTTTGGAGTGTGCGTTTCTGTATATCTTCTGTTCCTATGTGAGTCCAGATTGGGATGTCATCGGCGTAAGCCGTTGCCTTTAGTTGTGGAATCTTGTGCAGCTCCCAGAGCAGCGGTGCCATCACGATGTTGAATAGAGTTGGTGATAGCACCGCTCCCTGGGGGACTCCGATGTTGTTTTCCTTAGTTGGGCCGTCTTGGCTATCTTTTCCATACCCAGCTCTGATTAGGTATCTCCGGTTGTCAAGAAAGGATTTCACAAAGTTGAGTTGCCTCCCCGTGAGTCCAGCTTCTTCCATGGCTTT